GGATATTTGTCAAAAATGAGCTGACTCCCAGGTCAACCCAGCCTTGAGTGGATACCAGATACAGTCCTTGGAAGTAAAGGTGGCAGGCGTGATGCTTACCACATCACCCACCAAGTGAGACTTGGTCTATAAAATATAGGTCTAGCCCTATATACCCAATTCGCCTGACAGCTTGGCAAAGGATCCTTTACTTACCACATGTCAAATATGCCACCAGCACGAAAGGGCCCCTTACATGTTTTTACTTTCCATATCGTCAGACTGGACAACTCACAAGTCATGGAGCAAGACCAGGGTCCAGAAGTGGACGAACAACCAAGACACATCCGTTGAACGTTAAGGAGAAAAAGAGGACAACAGACTAGTTACCGCAGAGCCCACAGAACTTCGCACAGTGATCCTTGACCCAGGTTGTGTATTCCGGGTTGCTGCACACGTCACTCCCATAGAGGGGACAGTCTGGCTGTGTGTCCACGCAAGGTTTTGGAGGAGTCGGTATGCCTGTTGTTATATAGCAGAAATTAAACTGGTATATCCAACAAATACGGACATAATATGTATATGGCTTACATATGAAGCGTTGCTATGTTGTAACAATCTCGCTATAACCTAATGACTGTAGTGCCGTGTCGGCATCATTTCTCCTTTCTCAGATCAGTCTATTTCATTATGTATCTTTCCACCTTTTTTTAATCTAAAGACACACCCACCCCCCAACCACCACCCCCAGCTTCTCCTCCATAATAGTAATTATTAGTCAACCGGTCACTCAGTTTTATCGACATAATCATCATCCTCATCATCATCTTCGTGGTCATCATCATCGTCATCATCATCAGGTTCGTCACGCAGAAGATCGGTACTAAACAGTGTGAGTTCGTTAGAATGACAATGTTTGAGTCTCACTGAGTTTAACTAATACAGTAATGCGACAGTTTGAGCTATAGTTTTAAACTAGATTGCATGCGTTCAAGTCATGAACGAAAGGCACAGAATACAAAACACGTGTGTACTTTGTGTAGAGTAATCAGTAAACCTTTGAACAAAGACACAAACAATAGACTGCACAATTTATTGGATGAACTATTTCGCTATATTTCGTCAGGTGCATACCATTTCACTAAAAGTGACAGGTGATTAAAATGAAGCAAATGAATGTATCCTTCAAACACAAATTCGAAATTATGCCTGGAAATAAATTGTGTAATCTATTGTGTCTACTCTGTTCAAACTCACAACGGGTAGACATGTCTTTAAAAAACATTTTGTTCGTTGTCTGGTGTTCAGACAGTAGACATAAAAGGAAAAAAAGAAATAATTACAGTAAATAACAAATCAATTCAACTTAATAAATCCGTTCTGATTAACACAGATTAACCCTACACTTTTATTGCCTGTACAAAAACATGACAATTACAATTAGCTTAACATGCACTAATGTACGAAGTACTGCCCTCACCTTTACAAAAGCCACAGTAGAGCGGACAGTTGGTTGTGGCCCATCCGGCGTAGTCTTTGTCCTTACAGATATAATCTCCGTACATATCACAGTCGAGCTTGTCCAGGCATACTGTGCGTGTAGATGCGAAGAGCACACAGAAACACAATTATATATATATATATATATATATATATATATATATATATATATATATATATATATATATATATATACATGGAGCCATATTCTGGCCGTACACAACGGAACGCAATATCAACACCTTTTAAAGGCAATTTTTTTTGCACCACTTGAATAGACCACCTTGATATGAGGACCTGCACATTTCCTAGATACGTTGTGTACAGGCACAAAGCTTTCCAGAGATAAAAAAACCCGCATTTATAAATATGTCTGCCCATACGCTTGTGCGTGTGTGTGCGTTTGTACGTGTGTGTGTGAGTGTAAGAGAGAGAGAGAGAGAGATACAGACAGACAGACAGACAGACAGACAGACAGACAGACAGACAGACAGACAGACAGACAGACAGACAGACAGACAGACAGACAGACAGACAGACAGACAGACAGTGAATAGCATGAGTTGCTTGCGTAAAGAAAGTCTTCTACAATTATAGTATGCGGTTTCTGTACCGTAGTTGCTATAATTTGTATTTAGTGTATTTCAGCTCAGAAGCTCAGCTCTTATCCTGTCTGCAAATAATTTCTTGCTTCATTCTCATTCCCTTCCTGGTGTGCCCTTTGCACTCAACACGGTCCATGGTATTTTGTTCCCACGAGTCCACCTCAATACCAGTATCATTGCACACATCTTTATATCGCATTACAGGTCGGCCACGTCATATTCTACCCATCCGTAATTGACCATAGAGGATATCCTTAGGGATCTGCCATCATCCACTCACCCAGCCATATAAGCCTTCGTAGACTGAGCATTGAGAAAACTGTTGTAACGCCTGCTCGTTCCAATACATCGGTGATTGTGATCTTGTCTTGCCACTCAATGCCAAGTATTCTTTTTAGGCATCGCATGTGAAAGATATTTAACTGTTTCTCCTGGTGCTAATAAGCTGACCGAGTTTCACTGCCATAGAGCAGAGTGCTGAGAACACAAGTCTGATAGACCTGAGTTGTTGTAACAGTGAGCTTTCTGTTCTCCAAACTCTTTTTGGTAATATGCTCATTCTTGTTGCTGCCTTACCTATCCTGATGTTGATTTCTTGGTTCGGCGATAGTTTGTTACTCACTGTGGATCCCAGACAGGTGAAATGGACAACTGTCTCCAACTCTTCACCATCAGTAGTGACTCCAAGTCTGTCATTAACACCTTGCAACGTAACTTTTGTCTTCTTTTTGCTGATTGTTAGTCCAAATTCACAACATTCATCAGCAAATTCAAATAGTAAATATTGCAGCTGCTCCTCTGAGTGGGTGGTAACTCCTGCATCATCTGCAAACAGCAGCTCTCCAATAAGTACTTTCCTTACTCTGGTTCTGGACTTCAGCCTGTAGTTTTCCAAAGGCTGTCGTCAAATCGAAAATGCATGAATATGTCACCCTCATAATCTCGAAATACATGTCTTAAAAGAAGAGATGAGTTTATTGAAAAAAGGGTAGGAGCAAGTGCATATATATGCTTCCCTCCATTTTTGATTACAAACTCCTCCCATGTTACACTGTAAAAGTTGATTGTATCTTTCATACCTGTGTGGAACAACTCAATAATGCTCAGCAGACTATGTGGACACCAAATCTTCTTCAGCGGGTTGAAAAGAGCTTTCGACTAACCAAATCAAATACCTTGGTAAGATCAATAAAAGCAATATGCAGCGGTTGATTTTGTTCACGACATTTGATGTTTTTGAGTCCTATGTCACCTGTCCCTCAAGCCAGCAGAGTGTTATTAGCTGATGAATGTGTGGGGTAAGAATGTCTTTCCCACTCTGGATGATCCCAATAGGAATTTCATCTCTTCCTGAGGCCTTCCCCGAAGCAAGTTTATCATTATCATTTCTAATTACTACATTGTTGCAAATGTTCAGATAATCAGTAGTTCGTTGCGTCTTCATGGCATTAAGAGCACCATCTGGTAGTTTGGTCTCAACTGAGGACAACTCCAGATAATGTACAGCTTAATTTTCTAGCTGCATTTTCATGTCAGTTATAATCTCCCCATTTAAATTCTTTAGTGATGCACTTTTTTAAATAGTTGGGCCGATGGCCTTCTTTATCCCTTTATCAATGTCTCTGATACTACCACTACTAATAATATGTTGAATGCTTCCGCATAGGAATAAACTCACAGGGAGCAAGTACAGCAGGGATCTACCAGTCATCAGTAGAAATTATCCTCGTCGACACGCGTTTCGGCCCACATTCCTAGACGCATTCGGAGGTGGGCCCTCCTGAGTTCATGAAGCTCAGGGCTGGTTCCCTGCTGCACGGAATTACCAGATGGTGGTTTTTTTTTTCGGCCAGAGACAAGACGACTTGGTGGTTTCGTAAAAGGTACTGTGAGATAAGAAATCGCCGCGGCAGCTTAATTAAAGCAGTCAGCATGCCTGGACGACCGAGCGACAAGCTTACGATTGGTTTACCGGACACATGTTGGACTTTTATTAGCAGGTGGCAGAGGAACACTGGCAGACAATTCGGACACGATGGACTTTCAAGGGGTGAGAAACCCTTTTCCACTAGACACCCGGACCAGCTCACCGAGGCCCGTCCCCTACGTTGTTGCGTTGCGTCCAAAGCCAGCTAGAGGCACTTTCGGCTGCCTCTCCCAGTTTTTCGAGTGTTCTTTTCCGTTCATTACCGCGCAATCCTAGTTCTTTCACCACATTGTAGAGCGAAGTGGAAACGAGGCCTCTCGCTCCCACTTCGACGGCAAATACCCGTACCGTGTAAGCCTCGTTTCTCCTCAGACCGGCTGCTAAATCACTGTACTTCTCGAGCTTGTACAGGTGATTCTCCTCCATACGCGACTCAAACAGGACGGTCAACTCAATCAGGATGAGCTGCCGTTTTTTCGCAGAGTGGAGAACTATGTCCGGTCACAGGCCGGTCTTACGGATCAACTCGGGGTACCGTTCATGGCCTGGCAGATCAACCGCCAGTAACAAGTCCCTCGCAGAGTCTAGCACAGATGGAGCGAATGGGTTTTGGTTGACCTTACGCATAAATGAATCCAGCAGTCACTGGCACAGCGTCCACCTACCTTTCGCGAATTATTTCTAGCTTTTCTCAATTCATGGAGAGTATTCCTTGTTGAACTTTCGTTGTTTCTGAGGAGTATTAACTTTTTTCTATCAATTATGGGTTGGAGTGTCTAGCTATTTGCTTCAAACCAGTCCTTACTCCTTTTGTTCTTTAATCCCATAGACTGTTGCAGCTGCTCTGTAGGCAGTCTCCAAAATTGTATGTAATATTGTAACCCATTTTAAACTTTCTGTAGAGTTATGTTGGATATCAGTGAAAGCATTTTCGAGCTGTTGTTGAACTCAAAACACTTATCTGGGCCTTAAGTTTTAGAAACACCTAACCTAGGCACAGAGTTGTGTTTTTTTTTTAAAGTGAACATTATCTTTCGTTTCATTCGAACTTTTTAAGCAGCTGGGGAACGGGTAGTGTCGCAGTCAGCACTGTGGTAACTGCGAATTAACGATACATAGTACAGGTGCTGCCTGATTGCGATAGTAAGGTCTAACTGGTGGCAGTGGCCAGATCTTGAATGTTTCCATTAGACCTTATGACGGTCTTTAGTCGTGAAAAGGATTTTGTAATATATAGGTCACTTCTAGTGCAGAATATATATATATATACACACAGAGAGAGAGAGAGAGAGAGAGAGAGAGAGAGAGAGAGAGAGAGAGAGGGTTTGGGGGGGGGGGGGGTGGGTAGAAAGTATAAACAGCCGGGCAAAATTAATATTTTGAGGAACACAAACTTGGTAAAAGTATTTCAATACAGACAGGACTAAAGAGTCATAAGATCGCTATCGAGATTGATACACAGATCTCAAAAACTGAAATTGTCGATAAATGCAAGTATCAACTTAATAATTGAGTGATAACTAAACCCTGACCTACAAAGACACATATCTGGTAAATGTTATCTGCTGATTTTAGTTCAGCAAGTACAACTTTTAAAGTTAGTTGCAAATCCTTTATAGAACGTTACATGACCAACCTCAGAATTTTTTTTTTTTTGGGGTGTGACTTCACTAGGCAATATTTACGTTCAGCAGATTTGCTATACAAAGTCGGCTCTAGATACCACTGTCGAAACCAACACAAGGCTGTCTGCTGCCAAATCGCCCGCATGTGGGATCGAAGGGACATCGCAACGCCCAAGCCACAACCACTGACACGACTGTTAAAGAAAAGTTTAAAATAATCACTGTGACTGGTATAACTTGCAAATGGCTGCCTTTAGTGACCACAGACACCTTCATAAATACTTGTCCCCTTCAAAGAATCAAACCAGGGTAGACTCCAAAATTGAAGATTCCACAGAGATCCTAAAGAATTATAGATGTGTGTGTGTGTGTGTGTGTGTGTGTGTGTGTGTGTGTGTGTGGAAAGGGGGTGGGGGGGGGGTGATGGTTCTATATGTCTTCAGTCTGCTGAGTGATTTATACCGTGCACACATTACATGCTGATATTTCTAGTATTTTGTGCTCATCTGAGAAGGCAATGCGTCACATCCATGTTTTGTTGTTGTTGTTGCAAGAGTCATGTATTTATAATATAAACCTCAGTTTGAGAATACATGCGTGTGTTTGTTCGAATGTCTGTCACCCCAGTTTCATTAATAATGAGGCTCCCTTGACTGTTTCACATCATCAGCTGTACATACATTCGGGAAGCTCACAGTTTCACATCATCAGCTGTATTTACATTCAGGAGACTCACAGTTTCACATCATCAGCTGTACTAACATTCAGGAGGCTCACAGTTTCACACCATCAGCTGTACTAACATTCAGGAGGCTCACAGTTTCACATCATCAGCTGTACTAACATTCAGGAGACTCACAGTTTCACATCATCAGCTGTACTAACATTCAGGAGACTCACAGTTTCACATCATCAGCTGTACTAACATTCAGAAGACTCACAGTTTCACATCATCAGCTGTACTAACATTCAGGAGACTCACAGTTTCACATCATCAGCTGTACTAACATTCAGGAGACTCACAGTTTCACATCATCAGCTGTACTAACATTCAGGAGACTCACAGTTTCACATCATCAGCTGTACTAACATTCGAGAGGCTCACAGTTTCACATCATCAGCTGTACTAACATTCAGAAGACTCACAGTTTCACATCATCAGCTGTACTAACATTCAGGAGACTCACGGTTTCACATCATCAGCTGTACTAACATTCAGGAGGCTCACAGTTTCACACCATCAGCTGTACTAACATTCAGGAGACTCACAGTTTCACATCATCAGCTGTACTAACATTCAGGAGGCTCACAGTTTCACACCATCAGCTGTACTAACATTCAAGAGACTCACAGTTTCACATCATCATCTGTACTAACATTCAGGAGACTCACAGTTTCACTCCATCAGCTGTACTAACATTCAGGAGACTCACAGTTTCACATCATCAGCTGTACTAACATTCAGGAGGCTCACAGTTTCACACCATCAGCTGTACTAACATTCGGGAGGCTCACAGTTTCACATCATCAGCTGTACTTACATTCTGGAGACTCGCAGTTTCACACCATCAGCTGTACTAACATTCGGGAGGCTTACAGTTTCACATCATCAGCTGTACTTACATTCTGGAGACTCGCAGTTTCACACCATCAGCTGTACTTACATTCGGGCGGAATGGTCGTTTTCCGTGCGTCAAGCTCTGTAAGTTGTGCGGCTGTAAGAGGAAGAAATAAAATTATTATTATTAATGTGCTCATTTGACCCTTGGTACCAGCGATTATTGAAGGAGTTACAAACATCTAACTTTCTGTCAGAGCATGTTATTCATTTAAAGTAAGATGGTTAGTTTGAATCAATCAAGTA